GCAAAAAAACCAAATGATGCTAACGTGTCGGCCGGGCATATCCCTAATTGTACATATCCGTGATTCTTCGATAGCTGTTACGTTGATATAAAAAAAAAAAACGCGCGTATATACATATACATATATATATATATATATATATATATATATATATATATATATATATATATATATATATATATATATATATATATATATATATATATATATATATATATATATATATATATATATATATATATATATATATATATATATATATATATATATATATATATATATATATATATATATATATATATATATATATATATATATATATATATATATATATATATACATATATATATATATATATATATATATATAGTTGCATATGCGCATACGTAGTTGTATGTCTCGCTCTTTTTATTTATCCATTCTTTGGATCTAGCCCGTGCCCCCTTTCTCCGCCTCTCACTCCCTTTTTTCCCCTAACTTTTGCACACATCGCTGGCTACCATTACCTTAGTAAACAAATAGCGTTCTAGCATCAAATTTACAGTCACTTAACGCCACTTAATTATTTAGAATCATCGCATTACACATGTCGTCTCTTTTTTTATCTTTCTTGTCTTATTCTCGACACGCCTTTATTTACCACGCTCGTCTCGTAAAGACGAGTTCTCTGGTCATTTTATCGGCATTAGTGATCGGTCGCACAAATCATGGAGTCTCTGTTCCCTTAAGAGATAATTTATCAGCAAGTTATACAATTTCTCTACAAAAATCGAAATTTGCGCTCGCGTATATAATTCTTACAATCCCTTTTCTCATTTCTTTACAATAAAATACATCGACACGGATTTACCGTACATCGCGGAAATGCGCACGCACACATTATGCTTGTACAAGGCAGTCGACTCACGCGATTCGCTATTCTCTTTCATCTCGTGTATCCTATATATGAGTGCTATATTTTTTCTCTCCTCTACACGCACGCACACATACGCGCTCGCTTGCTCGCTCCTAAGTTTCTACGCTCGATAAAAATTCCATCACATCGCCTCGACACACACGCTTGAATCTGAGAGTCGGGGGCGGAGCCGCTCTCGCACCCGGCACGCATTAAATCTACGCTTTCCGTAATTTTTTGTCGTACCAGCACGGCTCCGTGAACGCGAAGACAGCACCGTCCGTCCTCGCGTGTTTCAGTCTAACGAGATGTCTGGCTCCTCGCGACCATTGTCACATATGTCTCACGCCTTGTCCCGGTACGGGCTAGACTCTTCTTTATCTATTCTATTACTTCGGATATCATTTATGAATGTCTCTATTTCTCAGTCAATATTTGCTGGATCAGTAATTTTCCGTTTCTCTTTCTGAGCTACCGTCTTATCTAGACAGAAAATCTATCTAAGATTATAGGCACTAGAAAGCAAAGAAAAGACCGAGCTTATACCAGGATCAGACGGACGTCAACGAGGAGTCAGCGCAACTTAGGTGACACTGAGCGAACTCAGTCTACACCGAAACGAGGCAACTCTCGTTCGATCCCGCTCGAGAACGCTCATCTCGCGAGATAGGTCGTTCCTTTCGAAGTCTATCAGAGATCTCGACCCTTGGGATAAGATCGAGCCTCCAATCTTTATCCCTACACTAGCCGTAGGCGTCTGTATACTACGCGGCGCGTATTTTTAAGATATACACTATGTACACGGAGAAGGATATTCAGCGAGCTGATTTCGTCTGTACGAAGATCGCGAATCCAGCGGGACATGGGGGCATCGCTCGGTGCTGAAAGAAAACGCGTAAGGAGAAAACTCGTCCTCTCACCACGCGAGCATCGATCCGATAGTTCGATACACTTTTTGTCTCGCCGAAGGATTGCTCGCTAACGATCGTCTCGTCGAACCTACCACGATCAGTTCAACAGATGAATCGCCGATATAGCTCTGTCCGAGAATGGACATCGTATTTGTGCGTCGAATCGAGTTCAGTCTCTCGTTCATTTATTCAAATTCGATATACAAGTTATTTTTCACGTTTGCACCTAATTTGGAAAGTCGCGGTTTTCTATTGGATAACCCACGTGTCTGATTTCATCTAAACGTCTCAACATTCATCAGATAATCATGATTCACAGTTTTAACACCTTGATTAACGTATCTAAAATCTCTAGTTCGTGGAGAACATGGATAATACCATTTAAGACATCTATATCATCATTCTAAACTCCCAATTAATGTCATTGAGAAAGCGAATAACACACAGCATAAAGAGGAACATCACAGACGTCCATCTCTTACTGGCTACGTCATCATTGTCATTGTTCTAACATCTAGCTCCTTGATTCCACTTAATCTTCAGTCCCTAGTACTTGCGCCGTTGTTGAAGAGAAGAACAATAGAATCCATCAACTCGTCATATCAGTCATAGTTGTTCTAACATCTCAACTAGCTCTTCCAGGATTTCAGTTCCGATCGACGTCGGGAAAGCGGACGACACACAGAGCCTCTTTACTACATCTTGATCCTAATCCAGTCGTCGTCACATTCTTTACTTGGCTATACCTAGGCGCTAATCCGGCTAACAACGCACCGCGTGGAATATATATACGACGCCCCGCTCATTGTCAGTCGTATCGGCTACATTGCTCGCTCGTGTCCATGCCTCCTATGGTTGCCTGCTGGCGGCGGTGCCGTGCGGGTGTCCCGCACCAGGCGCACCGTTTGCCGCCGCCGGATGTGTGTGGTGGGCCTGTGTAGCGGAGCTGCTCCCGGCGCTTCCGCCGGATAAGACGGGGCCGGGGGCCGCGGGTCACTTGGGCGGGAATGGCGAGATCACCGAGGCGGCTACCGCGGCGGCCTGCTGACTCGCCAGCACTGCCGCTGCAACACACACAGAGAGACAGCAGGCCATTAATGTTTCGTCACGATCACTCTAAGGCGTCTACTGAACGCGCGCGCGCATTTCATTTCCAGCTGTTGCTGTTGTTGTTCGAACGTTGTTGGCGACCCGCGGCACCCGAAATCAAAATTTATTTGAAGCGCGTATCGGCTATTGGAGGACCGAAGGAGAGACCAAGATTCAGCGTTAATTGAGAAAATAACTTCATTATTTTTATCATCTGTGTATTATGCAGTTTGTTCATATTACGCAATATGAAATTATGTGACATTCAATGCAAACCGAGAAAACATTTTGATAATTTGAAAATACAATGGAAATACGATATTTGTTGCTACTTCTAAGAAATAAAATAAGAAAATATCAACAACTATCGAAAATGAAAATGGTGAAATAATTGATTTGTGAGCATTATTGACATTTTATGATATCTTAATATATATAAGATGATTCACAGGTTCAAATATACGAATCGATTATGCTCTAATTAGAATAAACATGAAATACAATAGAGACAATGTAAGAAATAAAAAAGTAATGTGATTCTCGAGAAAAAATATCATTCCTAGATATAAAAATGGAACTTTCTTTTTATGTGCTAACTAAAAAATTCACATAATATCACTTAAATACATATTGCACGATCCAGTTTTTACACTAAACTTGATCTTTGCATGGCTGTTTGATGTCACTATTATAAGAAATAAAATAAGAAAATATCAACAACTATCGAAAATGAAAATGGTGAAATAATTGATTTGTGAGCATTATTGACATTTATGATATCTTAATATATAAGATGATTCATAGGTTCAAATATACGAATCGATTATGCTCTAATTAGAATAAACATGAAATACAATAGAGACAATGTAAGAAATAAAAAAGTAATGTGATTCTCGAGAAAAAATATCATTCCTAGATATAAAAATGGAACTTTCTTTTTATGTGCTAACTAAAAAATTCACATAATATCACTTAAATACATATTGCACGATCCAGTTTTTACACTAAACTTGATCTTTGCATGGCTGTTTGATGTCACTATTAATATTCCTAAATCCTGACAAATAATTCTTACACTTGAATAGTTACGATATTTAAGACGCAGCAGAAAACAGACTTGCAACCGTTTTTCATGGATATGAAAATCACATGTAAAGCTCTTCGAGACGAAATCTTTGAGACGATCGTTAACGCACAAGCGCAATCCTTTAGGAAATGCATCGTCCTCGAGCTCGGTTGCACTCGAGGAGAAACCCGTATATTTCAAGATATCTAAACACCGAGCTACTTTCATCACTACGAGGAAAAATGACGATGGATATGTGTATAAAGAGTGGGAAAGCATAAAATGGCGTGTACCTAAGTAATTGTTTCTCTCCATCTCCCTTTCTCCTTTTTACTTCTGTCTCAGCGGTCTCGCGCCTATAATGCATTTCCCTAGTATGGTTGCGGACTTCCCTCGTTCACGCGAAAGTCCTGGCAGTGTTGGCTCCGTAAGCGTAGACTTGGTCGATTAAGTTTGCTGATTGGTAATCGTTTCCCGCGTACAAGAGTGTCGTTATGCGAGACATTGTAACAGCGAAGTAATATAAAACCTCAGAGAACGTAAAATTGAATGTAATGAAAAGATTAAATGTAAATCTTATTAAATAAGTTTATCTGGAGAGAAATCAGAATTTCAGACGAATCTAAATATGTTATATTGTTCCTCATTTCTTATTTCTTTTGACAAGTATATATTTTGTAAAATATGAAAAACATTATACCATATTTCTGTCATTTTTTATGAACGTTGTTTCATGCCATTGTATTCCGATTCCTAAAGCATAAAAGAAAAGAAAAAAAATTATCGAAAAAAATTTAATTAATTTCACGATTTATATCCATGAAATCGTTATTATCGAGGGTTAGTGTATCAAAGATACTTTGGAGCTATATTTGTATCTAGATAATAGATAATAAAAGAACAATGTTCTTACGAATCGCAAACGACGCT